TCTCTTTCTTTCCTACATATCCGCCGATCTTGCAAATAAGGAGGGAGGGGTCTTGGGAGATAGGGGGGGGGGAGGAGGACACAGCTCGTGGTGTAGAAATCTCTCTGTTTGTTTGTGTTTTTATTTTGTTTGGTTGGTTAGTTGGTTTGTCTATCTGGCTGTTTGTCTCTCTGTCTGTCTGTCTCTCTGTCTCTTTCAAAATAATGCAGATGGGACTTCAAAGCTTCCTTTCTATTAGGTTTTTATGCTTCCCTTCTGTAAAAAATGGTCTCGACACAAAAATAAAAAGCATGGATTTTGTCGAACAATCTCCTACTGGTTTGGTCATCAAAGGCTTGCATTCACCTTTCTTTCTTTCTATATGTTTATATTTTTTTCTTTCTCTCTGTTATTCAGTATCTACTTCTCTCCCCTCCTCCTCCTCTCTTTCTCTCTCTCTCTCTCTCTCTCTCTCTCTCTCTCTCTCTCTCTCTCTCTCTCTCTCTCTCTCTCTCTCTCTCTCTCTCTCTCTCTCTCTCTCTCTTCTCTCTCTCTATATATATATAATATATATATATATATATATTATATATATATATATATAAATATATATATTATATATATATTATATATATAATATAATATATATATATATATATATATATATATATATATATATATATATATATATATATATATGTGTGTGTGTGTGTGTAGTGTGTGTTACTGTATATATGAATACACACACACACACACACACACACACACACACACATATTATATATATATGTATATATGTGTGTGTTGTGTGCTGTGTGTGTGTGTGTGTGTGTGTGTGTGTGTGTGTGTGTGTGTGTGTTGTGTGTGTGTGTGTGGGCTGTGCGTGTGTGCGTGCGTGCGTGCGTGTGGTGCGTGCGTGCGTGCGTGTGTGTGGTGTGTGTATGTGTGTGTGTGTGTGTGTGCGTGTTATGGTGTGTGTGTGTCTATATATATATATATATATATATAATATATATATATATATATATATATATATATATATATATATATGTCTTTTCGGCTCTGTCTCTCTCTCTCTCTCCCTTTCATCCATCCCGATCAGAAACGAGGGGCCCTTTTTCCTCTTTTTCCCCCCTTTTTTTTTTTTTTTTTTTTTTTTTTTTTTTTTTTTTTTGCTGCCACACGAAATAAGCAAATCACAGATAACCAATGCCATTCGCTTATTTTCGAAACCCCCCCAATAAAAAAAAAGCTAATTGAGGCCGCTTAGATCAACTCCCCAGACCGAAAAGTAATGAACGAATTTAATGAAGAAATACAAATAATAGCAGGTGACAGTTCATTAGCCGACTGTCAAGGGGGAGAGACAGCAACATATACGCCTTTGTTGACCTTGTTTTGGATAAAAAGGGAACTCAAAGGTCTACCACGTAGATATGATGTAAGGGGATGGATGTTGGAGGATGTCGATGTTGATGAATGTTATTTAGGATCCTCGTATACTACGATGGATGTTGATGTTGATGATGTTATTTAGGATTCCTAAATAACATATACATATATATATATATATATATATATATATATATATATATATAATATAAATATATATTATAAATATATATATATATATATAATATATATAGTTGATGAATGTTATTTAGGATCCTAAATAACATATATGTATAGTTGATGAATGTTATTTAGGATCCTTGTATATTACATTGGATGTTGATGAATGAATAAATTATTTTATGGATCCTTATTATAGCTACGATGGATGTTGATGTTGATTAGTTATTTTAGGATCCTAATAACATCATGTATAACATATATATATACTATATATATATATTTAATATATATAATATATTATATATTATATAATATATATATATATATATAGTTGATGAATGTTAATTAGGATCTTTGTATATTACATTGGTGTGTTGATGATGTTATTTAGGATCCAAATAACATATATTATATAGTTAATGAAATGTTATTTTAGGAATCCTTAAAAAATATAATATATAGTATACAGTGATGAATGTTATTTAGGATCCTGTATATTTACATTGGATGTTGAGAATGTTATTAGCGGATCCTTGTATCTTGCGACGGCATGAGGTTGGTGTCAGGAAGGGCATCCGGCTGTAAAAACCCATGCCAAAACCAGGATGGAAAGAGCCGGAATCGGAAAAGGAAAATAGGAGCGGCTCATCCACAACGGCGACCGCATATAGAAATGGTAGAGAAAAGTTGGGAAGGAAAAATGTACTGCGAGATGGATGCTTCGAGTTCGAGAGTATTCGTGGACTCTTTGATTGCTCTTTGAAGGAACTTATCTTTTGTGTGTGTGTGTGTGGTGGTGGGAGGGCTGGGGGTAGATGTGTGTGTGTGCGGCCGTGGGGGGGGTGGGTGTAGGTTGGTTGTGGGGAGATGTGGTGTCGTGTGTGAGGTGTGTGGGTGGGTGGTGGGAGGACGTGTGTGTGTGTGTGTGTGTGTGTGGTGTGTGTTG